GAGAATGCTTATTATTTTTGTAACCATATTTCACTTAAGATCTTCCTGGAAAAAAAAAATGTTCATTTGTTGTTGTTGTAGGTCTGGGCAAGGAGTGATAGAAAGTCTTACAGTCCAGCAATCATGCCAAGAACAAAGGGCAGGTGTCATTTTTTATTGTGATTGGCCCGAGCTGAAATCAGGACTTTCTTCCTCTCAGAAGCTCTGGTGGAATTTACAGTAATCACCCTGGCTGACTGCCCATCACACAGCTGAACAGCACACCAAAAAAAATAATATCTGGGGAGAAGGCCGCGACATGTATTTAAAATTCTCATTGTTTTTGTTCTTCAACTTTGAAAGATGATTTTTTTTAAGAGAAAAGAAAAAACTCACCCAGCTGTTGCCGCTATTCATATTCCAATCGCCTCCGGACTGCTCGAGGCCACCTGGCTGACTTTTGCCTTGGAGTCGGTCCAGAAAAGCATTATTTACCCTTTAAAACAATGAAAAATGTGTGTAAGTAGAAAGCTTGCTGCAGGGCTAAGAGATTTTTGAGAACCTAATGTGCTGCATGAACTGGCTGTGGGGATTGCTTTCCCCCTTCAGCTTAGAAGAAATCTACAGAAACTTCTTTTCGCATTAACCATATGACATGCCGTTAACAGCTCCTTACCAGAGCTGGTGCCAGTCTTGGCTCCGGTCAAAGGGGGCACAAATTCTTAACTTCAGAGTTTCACGTGCACATTTCATACCAATTCAGCAAGAACCTCGTAAGCGACTGTACCCATCAGGGCCATGGCAGATATGAGCCTCAGAGGCTGAGGAAAGATGGAAGCTTCAGCAAGAATGGAAACATGAAGAACCACCAAAAATAGCTCTGTGGCAGTATCGGTATGAGACATGTCCTTTCCATATACCCTGAACCCCACTGCCAGTCTTGCTGACAAGTCTTGCTTCACCCCGGAAGTGAAAAGTAGAAGTGGTTGTTCGCTTTATAATTGTCATGCTAATTATTTGTTTTATGGACTTTTCTGTGTAAATATTACAATAGCAAGATCATGCTGAGTTGCCCACATATGGCTGAGTAGAGTCAGGGACTTGGAAGCTGGGGAAACAGCATTAATAAGTACTCTGTGATATCAACGTGTTATTTAGGAACTGTGGAAATAAGACTATAAGCTTCTTGGAGGCAGAAACACAGTGCCTGGTGCATAGCAGGCACTCAATACACAGTTGTGGGAGCAAGGGAAGGTGGCAACCAGTCACATTAGCCTCCTTGTCATCCATGAAGATTGCGGAGGACAGTCATGGTGAGTGGCTACAGGTCAATGACTGTAGGAGATTTGGGAACTCTCAGGAAAATACGGTCTGGGTGGCAAAGTCAAGGCTGGAGGTTGTTCTATCTGTCTGTACTTGCTCAGTGCTAGCTAAGATGCTAACCGCGTGTTGACTCAGTTGCTGTTTCTCAACAACTTGAGGCCCCATCAAGCAGTGCTTATGCCCCAGCTACTACAAAAACTTCTTCCCTCTGACCATAAAATCTACCCAAGTGCCATATTCTGCTCAGCCTGGTTCACTGCTGAGCTTGATGTTTAAGTCACCTTTTGTAAATCTCTCAGCAAGCAGATGGAATGGTGTCTTACTAAGCTGGAGACCAGGCCAATAAGGAAGAGGAAACTGACCCCGATCTCCCTTTGTCTTTTCTCTCTGGAATTTCCAAAGGTATTCCGGACACCTGCATACCTGGAGCTGTTCTCATCTGGTCTTTCCACCAGTAACAAGGATGGCAGCCTCCCCACCCCAACCCACCCCGCATCCAAACCACTAGAAGCTTTGTTTGCTCTACCTACTAAACACATCCCGAATCCGCACCTTTCTTTCCATGGACGTCAGGCTAATGCAAATTACTACCACCTTTCACTCCCACCCTCTGTAATCCATTCTCCACAAAACAATCTTACTAAATTATAAAAGAGGTCATGCCTTCTTCTGCTTAAAACCCTCTCGTGACTTCCCGTTGGCCTTAGAATAAAATCATTGGCTTACAAAATCGTGTATTGTCTTGTTCTGCCTGTCTTTCCTACCTCATTGCATAGTATTCTCTCCTGCACCTACTGTTAATATAATCCAGTCAGTTGGGACTCGAGTCTGAGCTCATTCCCACGTTAGAGCCTTTGCACTTATTCCTGCCCCTGACAACAGGGAGCATCTAAGCGCATGCATCTGCCCCCAGTCTGTGTGTGGCTGGCTCTTCCTTGGTCTCTGATGTCACCGCTTCAGTGAAACCTTCCTTAGTCATCTGTCTCCTCCAATGGCTCCCCTAACTCCGCCTTGTGATAGGGTCTTCACAGTACATATCACCATCTGAAATAATCTTGCTTTTTAATTATTGACTTGTATTTCTCTTCTCCAGACTGTAATTTCCATATGCATGGTCAGGGACCTCTTCTGCCTTGTTTATCCCTATTCCCAGTGCCTAGAACGAAGCCTTCACAGAGTATGCGTTGATAATGTAATTACCGAATGAATGAATCTTCCTGGACTGTGGTCCCCACCCCGCCTGCTGTGACAGCAGCTGCACCATGAAAACCTGAAAACTCCATCGGTGGTGAGTGTTGCATGCAAGACAGCTTATTGCTAATTGATTCATTCAAATGCTTCGAAAACCCATGGCTTGTCATGAAGACAAGAGGTAATGCGACTCGCCTCTGAGCATCAGTTACTAAGAGGATATTGGAGGGGTTGAGCTCTCCTTAAGAGTTTAGGAGTGTCCTCAACTGACCTATGTCCACTGCAGTATGGATCAACCCCAGAGATAATGGCTGGGAAAAAGATTGCTTCTTTCAATGCCTGTCACCAGTACAAACTGGAGGGGAAAGTACTAGTTTATATTTTTGTGTGCTAGTTTCAGAAAGTACATACATTTTATTGCTGTCAAACTTGCACTTTAGGTTTTCTACTGAGGGTTGATTTGGATAAACACTATTATTTAGCGATGGTTCATGTCTGAATAAATCAATTCGGTTCATTCCAGTTTTCACCTCACGGCCCAGATCCTTTCAAGTCCTTGACCTCCATGCTCTGTCTTTTCTCTCTGGAGTTTCTACTTGTCTTCTCTCACTCAAATAGTTACAGGGGGTCAGATTCAGGTGCGCTCAAGCTCATTATGGGGTTCATTAAAAAGCTTGTGAGGAATCCCACAAGCTTTCTATTATAACACTTGGGGATTGAGTTTTCTGCTAATGTGAACTTCTAAATGGTAGAAAGTAC